TTAGAAAACACAATCCTAAAAGCCCTGGACAAGGTGAGGACTATTGTTATTTGGGACTAAAAATGTGACAAGAGTGCTGACAACTTTCCAAAGGACCTTCTGGTATTTTACTATTTTGCTATGTTTGCTAAGATTTGTCCCCTAGTATTTTTATTTCAGTGAAATGCTACAAATAGGTGCCGAGTGTGACAACAGTTCACAAAGTACTTGCTAAATTCAAGGAAGGAGCACCCATGCTTTTCAACTATCTGGATTTGAGAAGTTTCAACTATATGGCTTTTTGAGAAGTTGAACGAAGTCAACATTGCACCTGGCTAATTTTTTTTTTTTTTTTTTTAAATCACACTTGCTGGCTTGCAAGCAACTAGGAAAATACTTTCTTTTCATTGTGGGGGCGGGGAAAGGGAACTTTACTTTTACCACAGTAGGGGCTGATTTCAGACCAGTGAGGTAGGCTAGAGCAGAGACTGGACAAGCTGGGCATGTTGCACTGGACTGTCCCCCGCCTACACAGATGATCACAGCACTAGAGGCAGAATGACTCCTTGAAAGCCAACAGCTTTCCACCTGCTGCTCAATTTGACAGGGCTGCAAGCTCAGGAAATAGCCCATTTACTAACCCTGGCTTCTCTGCACCCAGTGTTCAGCTCAGCCAGCCAAGTCAGTGGAGCCCTAATAGCAGTATTTATCCTTTTGGGAAGTGAGGAGGCATGGAGAAAGCAGAGAGGAAAAGACAAAAGGCACCCCAGAAGAGGAGCAAGGAAAGTCACACAGACAAACAAAAGGGTGTAGAGCACATTTTGCAAGGCAGAAACTCCCACATCCATTAGGATTTGCTGTTCCTGGCAGACACAAGTGACTTCACTGAAAAAATGTTTGTTTTAATAAAGGACAGGGAGGAAAAAAAATAAAAGGTGAAAAGGAAGAGAGACATGAAAAGAACAGGAGCTATGCGTAAACAGGAGGCAAGGGCAGAGGCCATTTGTCTTCCCCATCTATGGAAACATGAAGGCACATGCCAAGGGAATAGTAATAGCGAAGGGCAGCTGGGGGCATTTGCTCCTCACGCACCTCCAGGAGAAACACCTGCCTTTCCCCAGCAGCCCACAGATGGCCCAACAGGGAGACAGGACAGCCACTGCAGTACTCTCAACCGGCTACTGCTGTCTGCAAGATGCTGCACTTGCCAAACGCATGTTTTGATGGAAGTCACCTCATCCCAAATTTGTAACATGAACAATTTGGGGATTTCTCTTGAATCCAGGTGAAATAAATACATAAAAAAATAATAAGTCCCCGCCAACAGATCATCCTAACATGATGCATGTCTCTTATTTCCTACGTATCAAAGAACAAATCCTAAAACCTGATATTTACCAGCTTGGATTTGCGACCAACTTTCACTTCATATCCATTTGAAGACAAAGGGTAGGGCCCTCCAAAGTCTCACCTGAGCAGATCGATGCTTAGAAATGCCACTCTTGCTCAGAGCCACAAACACTTCCCACGGGAACATTGCTGTGCCCCAGCAACAGGGCAAGATCATGCCTGCAGTTATATGAACATGCAAAGGACAGAGGAAGCTGCCATTCCAGTACCAGCAGTTTCTAGTTAACCCCATGTTCCAAAACATATTTATGTTCCAAGCCAAAAATATAAACAATGGCAGCAAAGGCGAAAGGGTTTACAAAAACATGGCTCTCCACTATTAATCAGTGGCCTATTAGTTCATTTTTGGAAATTATGAGAAATAACACCCTGCCCTCTGCAGTAAGACAAGGAGTTAGGTATGTGGGGAAAAGCTGTTGTATCTGCTGATCAAGCAGAAGAAAACTTTTTTCAAGCTGCTGTTCTGACTCCAGTGTATCAACAGTTTGTTCCCCCTGCCCCATGACTACATCTGACACCACCGCCCTGGCTTGTATCACGAGTTGAAAAGTGCTAGTCAGACTCCAAGATAAACTTGCCAATAGCCAGGCGCAGACATTCGCATTCTTCCCTACCTGCTTGTGAGTGTCAGCTGTTTGTCTGGGAGCAGTCCCTTGAAAAGCTTTTACTGAAGGAGAAAAGGAAAGGGGGATGCAGAGGGCATTTCAAACAGAAGAAAATCGGGGAGGGGAACCCCACAAAGACTGCAAAGAGAAAACAAAAAAAAAAAAAACCCACCCTGTCCCCACCAGGTCCTCCCAACAACCTTCTTTATCAGAGGTTCATTGTCAATCAATTAGCCAAGGCAGCAGGGGTCTGTAGGAAGGGGGGTAGCTCGAGAGACAATGGTCTGCCCTGTTGTATTACTATTTAATCACTTTTCCTAAATAAATAAAGCAGCCCTGAGGTGCTGTCATGTCAAGGGAATTTATAACAAAAACCCCCTTCATTTTTCATTGGTCATTACTTTTCCTTCCCTCCCACCCTGCAGGACTAGAGAGGGTTATTACTGTAGCCTTAAGTTCCATCTTTGTGTTGCTTGCCTTTGATTCCCACTCGGACCTTGCCACTTTCTGGCACTAATTTGTCAGGCCGAACAAAGGAGGGATTTGTACCTCCTGTAAGGTCTCAATTAGGAAAGGCTTCTGCTGTATTATGTGCCATTGGGACAGGACACAAAGACGGTAATTACAGGAATTTGCACTAAATGGCTGAAGAATTCACAGCAAAACTTCTCTTCCACCACCCCCCCTCATCCTTTTCCAAGCTTACCCCTCCCAGCAGCCCTGGGGAAAACCCGCTCTCAATGCCTGCGAGCTGTAATTACCAACACCAGGCCCCTGAGGTTAAAGAGCAGCCCACGCCGGGGACCAGGGCAAACTGCCCGCAGGGAGCAAGGTACAAGGAGAGAGTCTCAGCCTGCTGGTGCGCCTCCGAACTCTCCTCAGCACCAACTTCTCCGAGCCAGGCAAGTTTCCCCAGTTTCTCCCAGATATAATTACAATTATTCATCTCTTTGCGCCGTGGTAACAGCGAGAAGTTCCAGCTGACTCTCAAAGACCAGCTCGAAGAGTCTCAGGCAGATGGCAAATGGTCCGCCCCTACAGTAAGTGCTGTGCATCCCCATCCTCAGGTACAGGGAATCCCAGTGGCCGGCTTCTCACAGACTCTCCACAACTCACATTTCTCTGCACAAGAGTGTTTCTTCAGTTTTGCAGGCTAAAAGGAGGCCACAGGAGCACTGAGAATGCCTCACGTGTATCGGGAAGAGACTCCATGCAACCCTGATGTGGTCGGAGCACCTTATTTCTGTGGGGAATACATGACTGAGTGCAGATGAATCGCCCCCCATGTTTGGGAGAGGAAATCCACCCTTTCCCACAGAAAAGTCTGCTCCCATACTACATAATGCAAGACTAAAACCTATTTTGTATCGGAGACATGCATTTTGTTGCCATCCCAGGGCCTGATCCTATTTTTGAGGAGATCATTGGAAACGCTCACTTGAAACTCTCCTGGACCTCAGTCAGAGGATGAAGCAGAATTACAAAATTTTCCTCTACTGAGCTTTGAATTAAAAGCAATGAGCAGAGAGGAATAAAGTTTTAATGTCATCTGGGACATTATCTTAAAATGAGGCTGTAAATTCTGCTGTCTTCTTGAGTTTCACAAGGCTGTCTCCTGGGTAACATGCTGGGCTGGATCCATCTTGGGGATACTTATTTGACCCATTCCCAGAGTCTCCCTGCAGTTTTCACTCTCACAACTACCCTTAAAGGTAAGACATGACCATTGTCTGATACAGTGTTCAGGTAATCAGAGTTATCATAGGACCCAGGCACCTTCAGTTTCAGCAGTAGTTTGGCACGTAATTACTCCTAGAAAAAAGTGACATGAAGTCACACAAAGTTTGTGGCCAGGAACAGAACTGAATTCAGGCAGAAGCCTGAAGCACAATATTGTGACCAAATCATTAGCTGCAGTGAGGCCAACCTTCACGATGCTCCGGCTACCAGGTGGGTGCCACGGACTGCAGAGAGGTGAGCAGGAACACCACCTCCAGGTGATGACCACAGAGGGACAAACCCAGCTACACCCACAGCCGGTTCTGAGGGCAACCCAGTACTGCTGGGGCTCGGGACTCCCCCGGAAGGCATTCAGGCCAGCGAGCAGGTCCTGGACCCGCACAGACTCCCCCCAGCACCACGTGTCGTTCCAGAGCAGCAGGAGACATCCTCATCAGACAGCTCCCCCACACCAGAACAGAGTGGGGAGGAGGCAGGACCCTCATAGCTCCCATAACAAAAGAGGAAAACCCTTCAGGAAAGCCGTTTCTGATACAGCTGACAATTTGTAAGTGAGCATAACTAAAGCCAGCCACAGAGTACAATTTAGGCACACAGTTCCCAAATTTGCTCCGGGAAGATGCCCTTGCTAAAGTAAAAGGACAATGAACTGCATTCACACAGGTCCTCTCTATTTTCACTTCATTCCCAAATGGGATAAAATCACGCTCTTGCCTAGGACTAGAGTCAGCAGTCAAATGAACTGAGATTTACAATTAGATGCAGAGGCTTAAGGTCAATTTTTCACCCCTGTCTCAACGGAAGAACCAAGCAGATGAGCTCATGCCTGAACCTCCGTACTAGAACACACATTGCCAAATGACAGCGTTTCATGGAAGCATATATGCTTTGAGGAGTCTCCCCAGAAGGCCTGGAGCTGAAACTGAGTTCCAAAAATTACTTGGAGGAGATGCAGTAATAAAAGGAAACAAAAGTGCTCGAAATTGGAAAGTTGCCTCGTATCCAGAATTCAAGTCGCTTTGATTCTGGACCACCTTTCCAGTGTCCTGAATCAAGGAAACAGCTCAGTCGTCCTGTAAGGCAGCCCTGGCCCATGCAGTGCTATATGTGCAGGATCTAACGTTTCAGCACTGCTCATCAAATGCAGGTGAATATCCCATAGGCTCTTCTCCACGTTTTCCAGAGAGCAAAGAAAGGCTAACACACCAAAGTGTCTACGGCCATAGTAAGAGGCAGGGAACAGCTGTGTGCTGCTAAAACACATACATGCTCTTCCAAGTGATTTCCTGCAGAAGGGGAGTAGGTGCAGATGCTGCAGTCTGGTCGCTTACCTGCACACTTGAAGCTCTGAACTGTGAGCCCTCTCTCTAGAGACAGTGTTGTCAGGATGCTCAGGAAGCTGGTGGTCACAGATTGGCGCTTGCTCTTTCTGAGATCGTTTCCAAAGGGCCGATCTACAGGTTTGTTCCTAAGCGTAACCTGCGGGTTCTGACTTAAACTTCTAGTAGCATTAGCTGCTGCCCTCAGTGCTTCCATCCACTCCTGGGCTCTCTGACGGGTCTCTGCACGCAGGCGGAGGACATCTTGAGGAAAAATGACCTGAAAGCAAGAGTCACAGCCATCCTGAGTATCTGTCTGTACGGACAGGCACACATCGACATTGTAGCTCAGCAGAGGATCTTCATCAAGCCTACCCGGTTGGAATGCCATGAGATAAGACCTGTTCAAGACAAAAGTAAATGCCTTCCAGTTGTTCTGGACAGTTAACCTGTAAAGAGTCCCTGATTTGAGAATATTTTGGTACTCTTTAGTGTTTTCAGTCAAATTCATGGACAGAAAGAGCTCCATAGGCTTCTCTAACAATCCATTGGTTTGAGAAAGGTCACTGTTATTGTCAGGCTTTGGCACGTTCTCCACTTTCTCCTGCTGTCTTGTGAAAGCAGGCACAGAAGCACGCACCACTTCCCAGAGTTTCTGTCCCCAGTCCAAAGCCTCCCATGAGGACTCTGCCTTCAGCTGTAGCTGTGAGTTGTCCGACAGGACAGTGTCCACCACCTTGGTTTCAATGCAACCAGTAACAGTGACCCTTTGAAAATGCATGAGTGGATACACGGTGGGAAGAGTCTGGTTGCCACTGCTGTCCAAGCAATACAGGTACAGTTTGTATGGGGAGAGCTCAGCGTAACAGGTTTGCCAGTAGCTGTCATTGCCTCTTCTAACTTCTAAGTATCCCTTCTTCAGAATATTTGGGAACGTTGGCTTGTGTTCTGGAGGAAACAAAATGAGAACGTTACCATTAATTCTTTTTAAATAATTGTTTCAAATTGCTATGTCATTCTGGCTTATCCCTCCTACCCATACAAGATATATCTGGAGGATAGGATCACAGAAATAGCCTTCACACAATAGGTTATAATTACCTAACACAAGCACTGACTCTACATTTGAACCAAGGAGAATACAGCACTTTTTCACCCAGAGGTACCAAAACACTTTACAAAAAGGGGGCAAGGAAACAGAGGGACAGAGAAACAAAGCAATTTTCCTGAGATTATCCAGGAGAACAGTGACAGAGCAACAAAACACTGCAAGTCCCAGAACCTAGTCCAGAAGAGTACAATATTATCAAGTAATCTATTGCCAATTAAAATAGATTTTGACAGTGAGAAACAAATACAAATTGAAACACCTTCCCCGCATGCCCAATCTTTCCCAGGCTCAACTTCATGCTTTCACACACAACCCTTCTACCTCCCCCTGTTCCAAGCAGCACAGGGGGAAGGGGAATGGGGGCTCATGGTCAGTTCCTCTCTGCTGCTCCTTCCTCCTCACGCTTTTCTCCTGCTCCAGTGTGGGTCCTCTCCAGGGGCTGCAGCCCTTCAGGATAAACCTGCTCCTGCATTAGCACTCCATGGCCACAGTTCCTTCAGGAAATCTCCACCTTCTCCAGCATGGGGTCCCGCATGGGCTGCAGGGAGATACCTGCTCCCCAGGGTCTGCAGGGGAATCCCTGCCCCGGCGTCTGCAGCACCTTCTCCTCCTCTGACCCTGGGCTGCTCCTCACACTTTCTTCCTCGCTCCTCAGACCACAGTGCAGTGCTTTGCCCTTTCTGAAATGGACTCTGCCAGAGAGGCCCCACCTGTGTCTGACAGGCACAGCTGTGCCCATCAGCGAGGCCACTGGAACTGGCCAGAACAGCCCCGCTGCCAGCACCCAGGCACTGCACCTGGACTTACCCAGGACACGGGGAAGGGAGAACTGTGCCCAGCAATGGCAGTTTCTTACCACATTTCAGCACGACCCGGGACCAGAACATTTTGCACAGCTCCGTTTACTAGAGAGGAGCTTTGCTGATTTATGAGAATCAGGCTCAGGACCAGCAGACATGACCAAAAATGAAAAGTAAGAGGCTGCCCAGACTCAAACACACATACCTAAATGCCTCAGCACTTCAGGTGCTTCAGAGCAGGCCCTTTCACAAACCTCAGCCCAAGGCAGTCAAGGGAAATTTTCTTCATCCCCAGAAAACCAACCATACACAAGTCACTCTGGGCACCAAAGTGATACGAATTTAAAAGGAATTATCTAAAGCATTTCCGAGTTTTAAAAAAGGTTTCCATGCAAAATTTGTTCCAATCTGATTTGCACCACTTCAGCCACCATTAATACATGCAAATGTCATATTTTTACCTTGGGCTGGATATGCGGCTCAATGCAATTTTTGTTGGTCCCTGTATAAATTCAGTGGCATTCATTGCTACACTCTACCACTGACTTCTAACACTTGGCACCCCAAAACAACCCAGCCTGAGGAACAAATTCTTGCTCTCATTTGACTTCTACTTCACCTTTCCAGTAAGGGTACCCGTGATGGGTCTTCACTTACAAACAGTGGCAGAATTAACAGACACAAGTGAAGAGGTTTCTGCATCCAGTTGTCCATCTCCCTTGGAGACTGCTATTCCCAACACAGCAGCAAAGGAGCCACCTGGGAACGGCTCCTCATCCACTGCCCAGCACAATTAGGTCAAAACAAAATCAGCACCAATCGACCTTAACACACAGCATTACAAACCGCAGCAATACAGGAGCTGTTTCACTCATGGTTTCTGGCCTCAGGCTGACAACCTTTGAAAGACAGATAGGGTAGACAGCTGGAGGCGCAAAATATTTTCAGTGTCTCAGCTTAACCAGTTACCACTGATGTTAACAAACCACAGTCTAACACGTTTTAGACATGATCGCTTCCGAGTATACCTAGGATGTCTTCAATGCAGAGCTAAGAGAACAGAAGCATCTGGGCTTGACAAAGCTTGGAAACAAAGAGCCAAAAATGAGCCTGTACAGAAGTTACTGCATCCCTACGTGTACCGGGCTTCCCAGCTAATACAGCCAGGATTGCTGGTCAAGCCGCTCTCACCACTGCCAGCTAATGGGTGACTCTGTCTATCCTCCCAGGGGCACAAGGACAGTCAGGGACTATGAGTATCTGAGGGACTTAGTTACCGTCCAAAGGACTTCAGATACCAACTGGTGAGGAAGCAGACCTTGGGCTGTAACCTACAGTCTAAGGAAATGCTCCCGTCCTTGGCTGAAAGCATTGCTGTAGTTGGTTGTGAGAGTTTCGTGTATGGTCAGGAGGAGGACTAAGGACAGCAACAGTGTAGAAGCTTTGGCCAGCTCTTCAGAGCTCTTCAGTGAAGACCAACTTTAAGGATTTATAAGGATTAAGTAGACATGTTTCAGTTAAACTTAATGAACGTACGTGAGAATTAATTGCTTGATATACTTAATGTGCATATGCAAACCTCATGGGGGTTAAAAATGGGGGAAGGATGCTGCCTCCCATCCACACTAACAAAAAGGAGGCACTTCAGTTTTGCCTTGCCAGCTCAGCTCCCCCACATTGCCCACTTACTCAGAATAGAGCCTGCATTTAACACCATGTTCAAAGCACTCTACACTTTACCTACAGAGATTTCCTGCATATTTGGCTAAAATCATAACAACAATTAAAAATTGCTACTTTGGCACTAGGTCTGGAAAGGTGGAAAAGAAATCAATATAACTATACCTTGCCGACAAATAAGCTACTCAGGAGTATTTCTGCTAAATATGAAAACTGAAAGCCTAATCTAAAACTCAAAATGGTAGAGAAAAAGCACACTTTCATATCCCAAATGGATAGATACACGTGCAAGCACACGCACACACAAAAAGAGAACCAATTTTGTTCACCGTACATCTCTGGCCCTGACATTCATTAGTATTTCTGCGCTAACTCAAAAGCCATTAATTTCTCTGAAACCCACACTAATCCCTTTGTAGTGCAGATAATGGGCAGCCATTCTAGAGTCATCTTCCCTTTCTATTAATCCAATCAGGGACGCAGCGCTTCTGCAGCTCCAACTGCAATCTCTCTCGCTTCCATCAAGTACAGATGACAGTTCAAGCTTCTCCATAATAAGACAACTTGTAACCTTCCCCCAGCCACCCCTCCTTCATCTGCACACGGGTTTGCTTGTCTTTTGTTGAGTTAGAGAAAGGCTATCTCTCCCTGCCTTTCACAGAGGCACCCCCCTCTCCCTCCTTTGCCCCACTCCTTCCGTTCAAGCTCCCATGAATCGGCTCCGTTGACTCTCACTCTAACTGGGACAGAACCAGCAGCCAACTTGATTAAAATTCAAATGCCTTGTATTGTTTTGGTCAGGGCAATAGATGCTGGCAGAGACAGGTTGAATCCATATGCTACACATACAGACATCCCCCCCCCCCCTTACAACCCTCTGCTCCTTTATCTCCCCGACGTGCAGTGTGCCAGATAATACCTTTCCACTCAGAGAGCAAATGCTACCATCTCTGCATCCACCTTCCAAACAGAAACTGCATCTCTTTTCCTCCCTACAGAGACAGGGAGAATAAATTGAGGAGGAGTGAAAAAAGGAAAATAATCACAGTAAATGGCCCACGCCTGAGCCATCTGGAGTTATAATTTCAAGGGAAGAAGGGGAAGGAGGCAGAAGGAAACAAAGAGAGACTCAGCAGCTGGGGACAGGGCGGTATCTTCTTCAGCATCTCTCCTCTCCATTGGGAACTGCCCACTCGTCCCGGCTAGGAACCCTGCACCGAGCACACATGTATCCCTCCCCACACTTGGGGGCAGTTGGTGCAACCAGCACTGCAGGAGAGGAGGCCAAATGTTGTCTCAGCATGTCCAGAAGATACATGCTCCTGAACAACTGACTGTACTTGCATCCCTGTTGGTATAGCAGGAAAACTTGCCCTGGTTTCCACCACTGAAGCATTTCTGATGACAGTAATATCAAGTAACTTGGAAAAGAGCAGAAGTGGAGATGCCTGGTTTCTGCAGGGTTTGGTTTGTCTCTTGAGGTGGCACTCCTCCCTGGGTTCTCTAATGCTTAGTAAGAGATGAGCACAAGTTACAGAGTTTTTGTCAACAGTCCTCCTCTCTCATTTCCACAGAACTTAACAGACACCTTTGGGACCTAAAATGCTCTCAAATTGGGTTGGGCTAGTCACCTGCTTGGTGGGGTTTACTAGATCAGGGACAAACTGTGCCTCAGCCAGCGTGATTCAGATCCACAATGTCTACTTCCCTCCTACTTAAAAATACAGTCTTTTCTTCCCACCTATTTTCCCATCTGGCTCTGCAGGTGTATCTCTGTCAGGCAAGGACATCTGATTCCACTTGGTCCTGAAATAATGGCATTGATGTTTAGCCACAAAATTTCCAGCAGATGGCTGTCCTGGAGCCAAATCTGGCTTCTTCTCCCAATGCCACCTCTTTTCAAGGGACCACTGTAGCAACTGGACTCGTAACTAGGTAGTAGTTTGCATTAATTTATATGAAGAAACAGCATCTCTCCCCACCAGAAGGGCATTCACTCTTTGTCATCTTCCTTAGGCTTCGGGAAAGCAAAACCTGCTTTGAAAATGTTGAACTTGCAAACTCTTAATTTTAGATTTATGCATTGCTAGTAAGGTTGGCTTAGCTGTTCACCAAAAACAACTCCTCACTGAATGAACTGCCTAAACAGATGGATAAAGAACCTGAACAAATTATGTCTTTCCCTTCAGGTGTGGCATTGCATGAGAAACATAGGGGAAACTCTGCTGAAGTCTACAGGATCTTGGCTGCCCAGCTGCTCCACCCAATCCTTTTTGCTCCTCTGCAGCAAGTTGAACACTTGTATAGTGTTTGCTGAGCAGACCATGAGCACCCTGTGCATACTGACACAGTGCCTA